ACACACACACACACACACACACAGAGAGAGAGAGAGAGAGAGAGAGAGAGAGAGAGAGAGAGAGAGAGAGAGAGAATGACTTGCAAGCTGTGGTCCAGCTAATCCAACAATGGCTGCCTATGAATGAAAGGTCCAAGAATCCAGAACTTATTCAATCTATGAGAAAGGATGTCTCAGGTGGTCTTCAGAATCTCGAGGCTCTAATGCCAGTGAAGAAATGGTCTTTCAAGCAAGAGTGAGAACAAGTAGGCACAAAGAGAAAGACCTGCCTTCTCCCATATCATTTATATAGGCTGCCAACAGAAAGTGTGGCTCAGATTAAAGATGTATCTTCCCGCCTCAAAGATCCAGATTAAAAATCTTCCCACTTCAAATGATTTAATTGAGAAAAATCCCTTGCATGTGTGCTCAGCCATTCGGGTTTTAGCTAATTCTAGAGGCAGGCAGGTTGGCAGTAGAGCAAAGCTGTCACAGTGGGAATATAGGCTGAAACAGCCACTTTGGCCACCTGGAAGTTCCTTACCTAATTTGGCGTGCTCTGACATTCCAGCCGTTTCTTCCATAGCATCAGCTTTAAGCCAAAAACAAATAAGAAAGTGTGTATAGTTCTTTCGCTGGTCAGAAATGCTGTAATTGCCTGGTCTACAGTTCTTCCAGTGGAAAAGGAGAGTCCAGGTTTGCAGCTGGAGGACAGGCGAGAGAATAAGACCTGGTATCTGGAAGCTCTCTGAAATCCCCATGTTTTTTAAAGATTCCTTTGCTTAAGGTGTCAATCAGTACCAGTCAGAAACATTTGGTTGTCTTTTGAACTTGGTTTCCCGGAAAAGCAATTCACTTGAGGTTTACACATCTCCTGTGGTTAGCGTAGGCCTGCCACCCAGTTATTGCTTGGCCTTGACATTTGATTGAACTTCTCCAAATTTAATTTCCTTCTCTATTAAATAAGATTAACAAAGGGACTCCACAGACACGCAAGCGGTGGCATCTTTTGAAGAAGTCATCTCTTCTGCTGGCGACTTCCCTTTCTCCATCCCCGCTCCGCCTTCATCGACAGTGTGTTTCTGCACTGTGTGCGGATATGTACATAGCCCCATACAATGGGGCTTGTCAGAAGCTATCATTAAGGCATCCCCTCCAGTTAAAGCCAGCAAGCACCCCAGCTTCTCAGCGTGCGCACGATTAGCCATGTGTGATAATTACAACCCAAATGATAATACTTAGCAGCAGCACCGTATTAACCTCGTTAGGCATGACAATAGCAGAGGAAAGAAAAACAGGAAAGCAAACCTATGCTGCCTGTTGCTGGCCGTGAAGACGTGAAAGCTAAGGGCGCAGTATAGAAATAGAGTGCACAGGGAAAAGGCCTCAGTGAAAACGGGTATGCATGGGGCCCAGGCCTTCTTTGAGAACCATTTTGGCAATGTTTTAATAGCCACTGTGTGCTTGTAGGAATGATCAGTTCTTATGAAGACTGAGATATGGTGCTAACTTACCAAGTGCCTATGTGATTCTTCTTCTTCTAGA